CTGGTGGCCCCCCCCCCCCCCACAGCGTCCTGACTCTGCTCCCCCACCATGCCGCTGCCACCACCTCCAAGGAGCAAGCAGGGGAAGCAAGGCTAGGTCCAGCGGCCTCGCCCCCCCCCTTTGATGTCGCCACATGCAGGGAGCAGGGCGGGGGGGCAGGGCCAGCATTGCTGAGCTTGCCATCCCCATTCCATCTGCTCCACTGCCACCGCCTCCAGGGAGCAGGGCTGCAGGAGGCAAGGCCACCGCAGCTGGCCTCACCCCCCTGCTCCACCCTGTGTCTCCACCTTCATGGCAGTGCTCCACCACATCGCCACCTCCTGTTTGAATGTTGTATTCACACTCTGACAGGGTGTTTCAGTCAGCCAATCAGAGCAATAAAGAGTTATGGACAAAGAAACAGATTAAGGCTTTTATAATATTAGAATAGTGACTAAGGCACTGGTTGGCTTCCAAATTGTTTTACACACACGCACGCGCACACACACACACACGCACAATGGCATTTCATTTTAATCATGAATTCTGGTTTTTAATCAGAATTTGCAATTGTGTTTTAATCAGAGAATTTGCAATTTTTTAAACAGAGAAACCAGGATCCCTGGTAATAAGGCAGTCTGGTTTTAGGAGGATGGTAATATTTTGAGATGTTTGCTTGTTTGTTTTCCTCTACCCATAACTATAAGTTTACTGTAAAAGAATACTGTTTTACAATGTGACATAAGAAAGGTGGTAAATGGTTCAATACAAAATGGTTTACTTCAATTGTGTTTGGGATGCTTACTCATGCATGAGTTAATAGCATATCTAACATTCATACTTATAATAGCTTGGTGTTACATTGCCAGGTATGCAACCATACACATAACAGAAGATAGTTTCTGATTGCAAAAAATCACATTCATTTCACAGAAAAAAAAGAAATGATAGCAGCTGTTTTAAACTGACTTTTTACACTCTGTTCAATACTCAGAGCATTCAGAGACCCAGGGACAGCTGCTTTATAAAAGGTTCTCTTGGTCATCTGAATAAAAAACTTTTAACGTCTAAGTGTTTTCTCACTTTGCTGGCCAGATAAATACAGTCAAAGGATGGACATGGGTATCTCTACAGACCAGAGGACTTACTATCCACTTTTTTTTGTCCTTCACTAGGGCTAAGTACAGACATTGGGCAGGGAGTAACAGGGGGAGGTTAAATCGAATCAAAATGGCTGCCCAATAGCAGGTAAGTCAGGATGGGGAAGAGCGGGGGAGCTGGGAGTCCAGCAGGCTGCAGAGGATCAGGGGCCTGCCAGGGAATGGGGGGCAGGGGCAACCCACTGGTGGGGTGCCCCCCTTCCCCGCAAACCTACACCCTTATCCCTCCCACCCCTCTCCCTACCAGGGCTTACTTGCTTGGCTCCAGCAGCAGGAAATGCTGATAAAAGCAGCTGCACCCAGAGCAGCTTGTAAGATGGGGGTTGAGGGGACTGTCTTGTCCAGAGCAGGGGGAGGGGGGGGAATGGAAAGGGGATGCAAAGGGCCAGGGGGCAAAAGATAGCCCACTGTAGGGTCTGGTATTCAAAAGAGCAGCCTAAAGCTGGGTTTTCCCAGCCCTGGGGTTGTGCAGGGAAACTGTACAGAAGTTCCACGCACTGGTTTAACCCAAATTGAATAAGTTTGATACTACATAGATCCAGGTTCATCTTACACTGGGTTCTGCAATTTTTAGACCAGTCTGAGTGCATGGAACTTCTGTATAGTTACAGGCTTAGACTGATTGCCAGTCACTAAGACCTAGTCTGTAAGTGTAAAGTTAGCATGGGGATGAGCTAAGTTTAAATCGGGGAGCCATTTTGATCCCAATTTAACCTCCCCAAATGTCTGTTCTTAGCCTAAATAACTAGTGGGAGGGGGTGGAAATCAACAATGGATTTTGACAGGATGTTACCTCAGAATCAAAGAGGGTCTCTGGTTTGTCAAACATATGGACAGCATTTAAAATAAAATCAGCTGACTCATTTAAAATGTAAGATGTCTACGTAAGACAGATGGAAAAACAGTCATAGAAGAACAGATAATTTGTTACCTGTTGGACTTGATGTCTTCAAGTCCCCCTTTTACTTCTTCCTATCAAAAAGCAAAGACAAAAATATTAACTTTCCTTCTATTAAAAGCAGTTACATAGTACCACACATTCACACAAGGCCTCCTAGCCAAGAGACAAAGAGTTTACAGTAAATCAGCATGATGCAGCAAGCACTTAAGTACGTGAGAAAATTTACTCATATGAGTATTTCATTTAGTCTGAAGTGTTTCCATAATCAACCTCTCCACAAAACAATGGCAAAATGAAACATGGGACTCACTAATGATTGGGAGGTTTTGGAATGAACACTTAAGAGAAGAGGAAAAAGAGATGGGTGGATTTTTAGGTATTTGGGTGGGAAAAGTTTAAGACAGTTGAGGTTCTCTTGCATTCAGACAAGCAATATCTCTGACCACTAGTACAGCTTCAATCTTAATTGGAAAAAAAAATTAATTGCCAGCTTTTCACCTGCTGGGGATTAGAAACTAGTGAATAGTGGACACAGGAGGTTCTTAAAGCGTGGCAGCAACACAGCTCTGACATTCAGCCTCTACCTGCTAGGTGCCAGGTCAGAAGAATCAAATGTGTCTGGTCTACTGGAGATAGTGCCAGCATGTGAACAGCAAAAGTATATATTTAATACTAATTAATTATCTACTTTCTAGCATAAAAAACTGAATTTAAAAAAAGCTATATACAACTATACCACACACACACACATACTTACGCCTACCACAATATGCTCAGTGGTAGATATTGTTATTTATAAACCCTCACTGGCAGTCAGGTATCACTGGCAGTGGCCAGAGATCAAACAGGATATTTGACCTCTTTGTACACAATTGGGTTTCAAGCATTCAGACATTTTTTAAATATATACACTTGTCTCATTTAACATTGCTTGCCTGTTGCCTGTAAAAAGCATAGAGCCACTCAAGTAAATTCCCCGTACCCCAAAAAAATTAATATTCCTATTTTATTCAATATTTTGTACAATTGACTTGAGGCTCTTTGACAGCTTAAGTGTGCAAGCTGCCCAAAAGGTAGTTTTCTTTGTACAGAGTTCTTACAAACAGTTGAGAAAGCATTTTTTTTTAAATCATATGGTTCCATTCCAGGCCAAATGTAAAACACCCAGCAGAACCAGTAATTTCAATGCAACATAAATAGATGTTATATTGTTCCAAATTGTTTAGTATTTACATTCCTGTTTGTTAAAACAGTTATTTAACTTTACCTCATTCCAAAATAAATAAAGTTCCCATATATCAATTAACATAGGGGTGTCAAAGTCACTCCTGGTCAGATCTAAACCCTGGGACTCTTCCAAGTCCAGATCCAGGGGAGCAGACTTAGATACAGAAGGGGTCAGTTTCACATTTGGGCACTGCAATGTGGGTCAGGGTCTGCGTTAAGTTACAGGGGCAGGCAGTGGCACAGATTAGGTCTACAGCCTGGCTACCAGTGGTCACAGCCATCAGTATCTGGAGACCCCAAATTTTGTGACAGGCCACACCCACCCACTTATGGTAGCCCGCTAGAAGATCGGAGAGAAAGGTTCTGCAAGCCAGATCCAGCCTGTAGGGTGTATGTTTGACACCCATGACTTACCAAGTACACCATGATTCTTGTCTATTCATCTGTTTAATAGATACTGCCCCAAGTCTTACTAATAAAGCTTCAGTTTCACAGTTTTTAATAAAGCTGAGTTAAGGAGACCTGGAATTAGACACACACTGTTTTCCAGGTGAGTAGATTAATTTTTGTCTCAGCATGAATCAAATATGCAATTTCATCTAAATCTACTTAGCAAACACAGCCTCTATTTCAGCTAAATCCAAAATACTGCTCCTACAAGCAGCTGCAGTAACAGATCATTAAGCACCCAGAAGCCCCAAAATGCTAAAGATAAGGCTGTACAATATCACCTACATCTGCCCTCTGAATGTGTACATTATGCTATAGTCTTCACTTCTATAGTCTCATGCTATTTCTTGAATAAAATATGCAGGCCAAATCCTGCAAGCACTTACACAGGAATAAAATTTACCCATGAGGTAGTCCAACTGCAGGGAGTAACTGCTCTCATTTGAATAAGTGTTTACAGAATCAGACCCAATATCAGTTTTTTCCTACAATATTTAATATGCATATATTAAATCTCATAGTATTAATACTTACGCAATTGCTATATTTTTTTTTTAATCGTCCAATGCATGTGGGCTGACAGACTCAATTCTGATAAAGGATGAGCCCTTGGCAAATTCAATTTTGGAAGAAGCTTTAAAGTGAATTGTAAGAAGTTCTGTAAAACCATAATGTGTATAACTTATTTCAGTAATTTTCTTAACACCCTCTCTGAACACAAACAGTGTAGCAGTGACCAAGCTTGTCTTGTGCCCTATTTGGATTTAATCCTTGTCTTTGTATCCAGCACTGCCTCAAACAGGTTGGTCCCCTAACTAGCAAGTGTCTGGTTTCAAGTCCTGGGCCAATTAGCCTAGTTTCAACCTGCACCATACATATTCCTGTCAATCCAGCAGTACAATGACAGACCTCAGTACCTGGGACATAACAGCAGTGGTGACTTCTGGTTGCTACCACACTGCCAGCCAGCACAATCATGTGGCTGTTTATTTTTTCACCTCCTCTCCTCCAAGTCAGTGCCTAGGACAGTTGCCCAAGCTGCCCCACCCTAGTTACACCACTGTCAGCCGGCCAATACATTCTGCTGATAATATTATGCACTTTTATTTCATGAATCGTTTTCAACATAAACCATATACAGAGCAAATATCAAATCCAGTGAACTGATATGAGCCATAATAAAGAAAGTAAACAAGTTGAAGTAGAGTTGCATAACACAACTCTATTTCAACTTTAGTAGCAAATGCTAGTTAAACGTATGTTAGCTACGGTTAACAAACATGCCAAACATCAAGCTTTTAACAGAACAACAGGACTCTTAAAATGTTCCTGCAAATCATATGAGCACAGAAAAGTAATGTTAGGGGCCTGATCCTGCTTTTATTAAAGTTCATCGAAAAAGACTTAAAGGTAGGTGGAACTGCAATATACTGAACCTGAATTTGTATCAGATTTATATGTGAATTAAATTCTTTATCTATGTAGGCAAAAAAGTTACCAGGAGCAGGAGTCAGATTTTTAACACATTGTTAGAAACCTAACATACAGATTCAAGCATGAATTAGCACAGCTCAGATTTCAAAACTACACACCTTGAAAAAAGGCTTTAGTCTAGTCAAAGTGTCTCAGTTCTTCTGACCTGCAGAAATTCAGTACAGCAGAGAATAATCTCAGCTTCAAATATAGCAACTACTATTTGCTTATTAATTTTGTGTTCCAGCTTTGTGATACTCTTAGAGCAAGAATGTCAATCAAACTATGAACTTGATTTTAAAGTCTTGTCTTCACTTAAAAGCTTCAGCATTTTAAATATGCCAGCATAGATAAAACGGTAAAGTCCTACTAAATACAGATACAGTTTAAATTTCTCATACAAATATCGTTTACTCCAGTTTGGTTAAGCAAAACAGCTATACTCGTAGAATTACATCTGTACAAAGGGCCTTAGCTAACGCAACTGAACTGTTACAAAAAACATGCCCTTTATAACATAGGTAAGTCAGTAAAATTTTATGAGTGTAGATAAAGGCCAAGTGTAAAATTTTGTTAACAGAAAAAGACCCTTAACAACTAGGAAACTAGAGGAACAAGTAAAATAGTCATTCTAGCCACTGCTGATTGTAAACTGAAAAGAGCTACTAAGACATACAAAGAATCCAAATTAAATTAAAATTAAAAATAAGTAAATGACCAACAGATTTTTCTCTAAATCATTATTCTATCCACCACTAACATCATCCTCGCAATGTCTGCAATATGGCAATGATAAGACTGACCATACGTACCTAGAAAAGTAATAACAAAGTGTGTAAATGGGGAGAACATGCTATACTCAAACATTTGTATCCTACTAATTTCCATACTGACAAAGAATGAGAAAGCTTCTTGCCAAGCTAGGAGGAAGTATCAGGCTTTATTTCTCACTCACTCAGACAGGCAGGCAGGCAGTATCAAGCTAATAATCATCCTGTTTTGACTACCTGTGAAGTCTCCACCTTCATCACCCCATGACCTATTAGTCAGTCCATCCATGCGGTGTACAAATAAGAGCTCCAGATATAAACATATACATTTGCTCCACAACCTCAGATTACTTTTAGTCACTGTATAATGGAATTCCCAGGCTTAAACTTTCATTTAAACCTTTCCTAACAATTGTTGTTGCAAAGGAGGACTTTAAGGACATTAGAAGTAAACCAATACAGTGAAGTTTGCCAGAGGCTACAGAGCCAGCCTATCCAACTGCTCTAGTGAGTGAGGTTCCCCATTCATCTTTATTCATTCATGCTATACCTTGACTCTGAAACCTAGCAAAAAGAATGTCAAAATTAAAGTACAATACTGTACTTGTGAAATCCCCAGCAAGATGGAAGTTCATGGATAAATGCTACCAATTTCTATATAAAGAAAAAAGTAAACATGATGCTTCACGTGCTTTGCTGGAATGCACAGTGCTTTAAATAAGCATACAATCAGTAATGTTTGAGCACAAAAGAGCCTTGTTGTATACAGAAATAGTAATGTCAGTGTACATTTTGACAAGTACACTGATCATCAGATTAAACAGGTGATGAAATCTGTCTATACAACACGGCTGGGGGCCAAATAAAGGGGGAAGGGACAATAACGTTCTACATGCCCCAGCAAGAATAAGAGTTTGGCATGGCAAGCGAAATAATTGCCTTCACCTATAGAACAGAAATGTACCGTATTGTATTTTTGATAACATGCTACGTACTTAATCAAAAAGAGCAAGAGAAGAATCTAAGGTTTCTTCTTTTAGGGCATAACAAAGAAAAGACCTCTAGACTCAGGCATAGTTACCCAAGTCTCAAATGTCCAAATAACTGTGAGCCAGCTGTGACTTCTGGTGCCTTTTGTTATAGAAGAGGATCACTTTGTTATGCACACACCTTTACCACACACTCAAAGC